TTAGAAACGCAGCTGATAGGCGCTTTCTTGAAAGCCAAATGACTGAGGGAACTTCAGGAGCCGTGGGAGGCATGTGAGAACTTCATTTTCACGTGTTCAATTCCCTGTATGCATATGCTGCTGCTGTCATATTCCCAGGGTGGTAAGTATGATTTCATTATCATTAGGAGGTCATTAAATTTAGCTTCCAAACTTAATCACCTGCCATACAGACATCTTGCGATGTTCGTGTCGCATGAAGTGTACTAAAAACTACGAAAATTCTGAATAACTCAACCCATTCATTTCATGATAGCTGCTTCTCGCGAAGTTTATCCACCAGATAATCATACGTCAGTGTACCTTCTCGAATCGAACTGTTCAGAAGGTCCATTGTTCCTGCTTCAGCGCAGACTCTCAAAGGCCGGGAAGTTGTCCGTCAGCAGTAGTTGGTTATGCTCAATATAACGTAGTTTTGACTTTATTGCCTGTAATTTACTCTGTAATATCTTCTCTGTCAGTTTCCCATTCACGTGTTATTTGTTTATTCGTTACTGTTTATTTATTCCGTTTCGATTATACTGAAAAATGGGGTTTTCCTTAAACTGTTTCATGCAGTAAACACAAAAGCATTCAAACGTAGCCAGAGGTGACTCTACGGTGATGTAATTACGTAATTCGTCACCTTCGTTTGTTCTTTCGTACTGTAGTTATGTTCGACGATTTGGCAATCGTCATGGTGGGTGCTGAATCTACGGAGAAGCTATGCAGTGCGGCTCCATGGCAGTACGTCATTCCTCGACATGGTTGTGCAAATGGCTGACAATATGCTATTCACAGATACTGAAGGGCTAAAAGACACTGCGACCCTCAGCCTCGCTGAATGCTGGCTGACTGCCAGAATATCATTTTGACAATGACTTGCTTCCGATTCCTCGAAAAGTCAAAGGTACCGCGGGAGGCTATTTATCGCTGAGGTTAAACAACAAGAACATGGCCCTACAGCATAGGATAGTGAAATGCGGCATTCCATGAAAATCTTTTGATACTTTTGCATATATAGTTGCCGTTTTCATAAACATATTTTCTTGTATGCGCTATGAAGACGAAAGCTGCGAGCAGTTGGCAAGTTCACGCAAAGCCTGAGTGTTTATACTGTAGCTGAAGCACGCCCAATTTTACCTTGCCAACGGTGGTACTGTGGCTACTTGCCAAAATGAATCCATACGATTATAAACGTTGGATAGTCCTGCACTTATGACAATGGCATTATCTTCATCAAAAACAGTTAGAATTTTTAAAATCATCATCAGTGGCGCAGCTCACTTTTTATGTAGTTCTGTCAAATCTATGTTTTTCCTCTACATAAAAAATGCATTTTTACAACCTCGTAAAATAAGCCATGTATGATTGCCAGACGTTAGAGATAAAATTAGAAATCAAAGGTTTTCAGTGGCATTCATTCAATCAATTTCGATATTTATTTTTTAGGATCACGGAGGTAGACGCGTCAAACAGTGCTTTCAACGCTTCTGACTCTGCGGCAGCATCTCAGCTTCGGCAGATGACAATCGGAATCTGGAGCAGTCTTCTTCGATACACTTGCTCCAGGTTATTTTTGATCATTCCTCCGGGGTCATCTGCCGATCGATTGGGCAACTAGTGTTTGCTTCGCCTTCCTTTCTGGTGGACTATTGGCATCCGTTCGTTGAAAATGGTGAGTGAAATAAAAATGCATCGACGATGTGACTGTTTGGTGTTTGAAGAGTTGCGTACTGTTTGAGATTCTCCGGCGTACGAACATAGTTTAACATTGTTGCGGTTGCATATCAGGAGTATCTGCTC